CGGGCTGCCCAGGGGGCCAGGACACGGTGACTGGAGGCCAGGCTGGCCAAGCCTCCGTGAGGGCTGCCCTGGGCTGGCCACATGGCCTCCTGGGGTGGAGAGGCCTCTGCCAGGTGGGAGAGTCTGAGCAGCCCACTGCTGCCCTCCCAGGGGTGGGGGACCAGAGATGGAGGACCTGGCTGTGCTCTCCGCCTTTCCCCGCACCTCCCAGCTGGCCCTGGAGCCTCAGCGGGCAGCAGGAAAGGGAGCCTGCGGCCCTGGGAAGGGGGGCCAGGCAGTGGCTCAGGCGTGGGTGGGCTGCAGATCTGGGTGTCCAGGCCCCTGCTGCCGGGCAGGGCCACCCCCGTGTCCCAGTGAACCTCTGGAAGAGACCCACACAGACACCACCTGGACACCCAGACAGCAGGCAGGGGTTGGGGGCCATGGGGAGCAGATGCGGGGGCTCACAGGGGGCCTGTGTCCCTGCCCTCCTGCTGCCCTCCCAGCTCCGGCCTCTCCCAGGCCCACTCTGGGAAGGCCCTGCTGTCCCCACCTGGGCCCAGCCTGCAGGGGACACAGGGGCTTCAGTGGCCCAGATCAGCAGGGGGTGCACCCCCCATGGAAGCCCAGCCCCCCTGGGCCCTGCAGGGCAAGAAAAGTGCTGCCCCCAGGGCTTAGCCTGGGGAAGGGGTACAGCTCAGGGACCTGGCGGAGAGGCGCCCTGGGGCAGGGTCCTTGGAGGAAGGGCTGCGTGGGGCCCTCCCCACTCCCCACTCCCCCTCCTAGCAGGGCTCCGAGCCCACAGGCCCACCCTCCACCTCTGAGTCCCAGGGTCCCCAGCAGGTCCCCGGGCTCCCAGCCCCCAGGTGGCCCTGCCTGACGCTCGGCCCCTGCCCTCTGGGTCTTGGGAGCACCCCACGCCACCCCGTTTCCCAGGAAACCTCTGGAAGAGATCCACACATGTGGCCAAGACCCAGCGCCCATGGCCTCAGCCTGTGCCCAGAGCCACCTCTTCCAGGCTGCCCGCCCCTCCCTCCAGCCAGGTCCAACTAGGGACAAATAAAGACAGAGAGGTGGCCAGGCTGGCCAGGCCTTGTGGACCAGCAGGGGATGAGGGTAGGTGGCAGCCCTGCTCCCGGGAGTCTTGCAGGCCAAGGAAGTGGCCTGGTGCACACTGGACAGGAAGCCACCCGCCCACCCCCAGGTCTCCCCAAGGCTGATAAGGCCAGGTGCTCCGAGGCAGGAGCTGGACAGTGGTTCCCAGTGTCCTGTGCTGCTTGCTGATGGCTGTGGCAGTGAGCCCTGCACCTAGGGAGGAGACAGGAGGGGTCTCCGTGGTTGGATGTGTGTGCCTCCAGGGGCAGCAGCTGACCACGCCCTGGCCTGGCAGGGGGAGGTCAGGCCTCACACTCTGGAGGTGGCTGGTTTGGACCTGAGCAAGGAAGGGCTCAGGTGGCTTCAGGCTAGCCCCTGGCCTGCCCGGTTGCCTGCAGACCCCCTCCTCCCGGACCTGGGCCAGAGCTGGGCAGTGTGGCCATCCATCCTCTGCCCTTCCCTAGCCACGGCCCGGTGGCTGCCTCCTGGCCAGACTTCGTGTAAGCCCTCCTCAGGGGCCTGGGGGCCTGGGCAAGGCCCCACCCGGCAGAAACATGTCTCATCCCAGCACCACCCTCAGCCTCCGCCTCTGGCCTGCGCAGGTGAGGCCCGTCCACTCACTGTCCTTGCCCTGGGGCTCTTCCCCTCAGGCCCTGCTGAGTCCCTCCTGCACCTGGACTTTAGGATCATGAGGGCGTGGAGTGACTGGGACACTGGGTGGTGCATTGCTGGCCCTGGGCATAGGCCAGCCGTGGTCACAGAGGACAGTGGAGGCCGCTCACACCTCAGCCCTTGGTGGTCTTGGACAGGCAGAAGCCAGGCCCAGAGAGAGACCTCCTGGAGCCCTCGGCAGCCAGAGCCTGGGCTGGGGCTCCCTGGGGGGCTTCTCAGTGGGCAGCACTGGACAGGGGTGGGCAGCGCAGCTCTGCGGTTGCCCAGCCTTGGGGCTCCCAGGCTGCTGTGGCCACACCTGGCATTGGCTCCTCGTCCTCCCTCCTCCTCACCTGCCCTTCTCTCACCCTTTTTTTCTCCCTCCCCTCATGGGTGGGCTCCCACGGGACTTCTGTGGGAAGGGCAGTGGTCGGCCCAGCCTGGCCCCTCAGTCTCTGGCTGGCCGCCCTGGGGTCTGCAGTCCCTCTGGTCAACCCTGGCCTCCCACCAGCACCGAGAGGACGGGACCTCATTCTGGGCCACCGCAGGGGCTCTGCAAACACTAATTCTTTCCACCAGCTGCGAACAGGGAGCTCCCCAGGTGACGGTGGACGTCAGCCCCAGGACCATCCCTGGTCACCTCTCGAGGACCCACCCCTGAGCCGGCCATTGGGAGGGCTGGGTGTGGAAGGCACCTTCACAGGGAGCCCTCGCAGGCCACCACCCAGATCCCCCCCCCAGCTCCTGGCTCAGGAGGCGCCTGCCTGTGTTCCTGCCCCGGGGCTGGCATCAGATGGTGGGGCACACTGGCACCCGAGCCTTAACAAAGGGTAAAGCAGGGACAGGGAGCGGCCAGAGTCCCCGGGGCCATGCAGAGAATGTGCTGTGCAGCCGCTAGGGCCTGGCCGAGCTCCGCCAGCTGTGGAATCAGCAAGTCCCGGCCCTGGAGAGGTGGGCGAGGGGCACTGTGGGCAGGAGGCCTCAGCAGCAGTGGGCTGGGTGTTTTCTAGCATGTCAAGGGCCCCAGTGTGGCTGGAGCAGAGTGGGTGAGACGCGGGAGCTGGGGACAGGGCACAGGACGGCATGTGTTCTGAGTAACCCGGGGTGGCCCTGGAGACAAACACCCCTCCCCCAGGTAGTGAGTGACAGTGGCCTTAGGCTGCCAGCACTGTGACGGCAGGGTGTGAGGAAGGCTGGGAGCTGGGTCTTCTGGAGAGTCCTACAGACCCAGAACATGACCCGGTTCCGCCTCCCGACTGGGCAGGCAGAGGGGATTTGAGGGCCCTGGCACTGCCTGCAGGGGTCAGCAGCAGAGCGGCTAGTCCCAGGGGCACGACCGAGCTGCAGTGTTGGGGGGTCATACCAGAGGTCAGTCGCTCAAACTCCACCTGCTGTGTCTATTGTGGGGTGAGTGGGAAGGAAGGGGAACCACGCTGGCCAGATGTCTGGATGGGAAGATTCAGGGAGGGAGGGGGAGGGATACATGGATGGATAGATGGGTGGATGGGTGGATGGATGGGAGGATGGATGGATGGATGGATGGATGGGAGGGTGGGTGGATTGATGGATGGATGGATGGATGGATGGAAGGATGGATGGATGGGAGGGTGGATGGATGGGTGGATGGGAGAGTGGATGGATGGATGGATGGATGTAAGAGTGGATGGATGGATGGATGGATGGGAGGGTGGATAGATGAGTGGGTGAATGGGAGGGAGGATGGATGGATAGGAGGGTGGATGGATGGATAGGTGGATGATAGATGGGTGGGTGGATGGATGGGAGGGTGGATGGATGGATGGGTGGATGGATGGATGGATGGATGAGAAGGTGGATGGATGGGAGGGTGGATGGATGGATGGATGGATGGATGGGAGGGAGGATGGATGGATAGTTATTAGTTGTGTGATCCTGGGCCAAAACCCTACTCTCGCTGAAGTCAGTTTCCATGTCTGAAATGGCAAAGGTGAGGGGCTGTGCCAGGTGCCAGGTGACATGATGGGGTTAGGAAGGTGCTGCCTCAGAGCCCCTCACTCTGACCCCTGGGTAGGGGCCATACAAGGTTCTGGCCACCTGGGCTGCTGTGAGTCCATCAGGCTGTGACAGAAACCCTGGCACCAGTGACATGCTGGGCCACCCTGCCTACCCCTGAAGCCCCACCTGATCCCCAAGTCTAGCAGGAAGGGCTTTGTGCATCTGGGGTCAGGCCTGTGGGAGAAAGCAGAGCCCGTGGCCAGCCAGAGGGAATGCAGGCCTGTTCCCATGCAGTTGGGCAGGGAGGGAAGGGGTCAGCTGGGGTTCCTGGGGCGTGAACAGCGACAGGAGCAGAGCCCGAGTGTCCGCCCTGCGACGCAGGGAACTGCAGGATGACGCTCCACTTGCAGAGCTGAGGTTTCCTCTTCTGTAGACTGYGCTGAGACTTGTGGGTTTGGTGCCGTCAACGGTGCGTGCCTGGGAAGGGATGACCTTGGCCAGCTGTTCTCTCTACTCAGGTGCAGGGCTGCCAGGGCACAGGGAGGACGCTGCCTCTTGCCCACAGCTGGCCTTGGTCCAGAGGAGGCGAGACCTGAGCCCCTCCTGGACCCACCCAGCACCGACTCGCTGGAGGGCAGGGGAGCCCGGGCAGAGGCCCCTGGTGTCCTGACCTCGCGAATGCTCCTGCTGTGGGGACCCAGGGATTGTTTCTGGCCACGCTGTAGGCAGGAATGTGGCCCCCTGGGCTGCTGTGAGTCATGAGGCCACCTCTGAGCACACCCGGGCCTCGTCTCCCTGTTCAAGTGCTTTGCGGGTGGCGGCAGCGCCCCGGCCTGGCCTTCCTCGTCCTCTCTGTGGAGAGACCAGCTCTTGGCCTGTGTGACGGGTGGCCATCTCTCTGCCATGGAGTACCATCACCAAAGGGCCAGTCTGGTGGCCCAGCGTGTGTCCATGGCCCACTTGGGTTCACGTGGCTGTGGTCAGAGTCCTGCAGACCAGGGGCTTGGGAGTTCTCAAAGACATCTGTCCACGTCTGACCACGAGCAGTGGTCCTGGAAGAGCCAGCCTTGGACAAAGCCATCTGCCCGAGCGTGGCCTTCCCTGCTGCCCACCCCTGCCCACCTTCCAGCCCTCCTCGTCCTCTTCAGGGCAGCCCCCTGGGGTCCCCGAGTGTGAGGGGTCACCCCCTCACTTGGCTCCACCCCCGCAGGAGGAGACTGCGTCTGGCACCAGGCCGTCCAGCCCTGGCGCTGCCCCAGGTATCAGCACGAGTCAGAGCTGTCCTCCCCCCTGCCTTCCAGAAGCCCCCCAGCACCCACGCCATGAAGGAGGAGGCCTTTCTCCGGCGCCGCTTCTCACTGTGTCCGCCGGCCTCCACCCCGCACAAGACCGACCCCCGGAAGCTCACACGGACCCTGCTCCTGGGCTGCGAGAATGAGCTCAGCCCAGTCAGCCCAGGTAGGTGCCAGCTGTGGGCGCATGGGGCAGAGGCCCCACGCCCTCGCAGCTGTCGAGGGCAGCAGCCCRCTCCGCTCACACCCCACGGGGGACAAAGGGTTTGTAGCTCATTAAAGGGTCTGTCAGCTGAGAGGGGACGAGCAGTCCCCAGCCCCAAGGCTCCCTGGTGTGACCTCTGGGGGCAGGCAAAGCCTTTGGGCCTGGAGACAGAGAGGGCCCCCAGAGGTCTTCTGGGGCCAGGGGAGTGCACTCGTCCCAAACATCAGCTTCAGGGACAGGCGGCCTGGGTCCTCCCTGCTGTCCTGGCTGGCTGACCCCAGCCAGCTACTGGGTCTCTCGAGCTCAGTTTGCTCATCTGTACAATGGGGACAACATTGGTGCCCATGCCCAGCCACCAGGGCCCTGTGCGCTGGCCAGGGGACAATTCAGTTCTGCTGGGCTGCCGTGCAGCTTGTGGGTGAAGCCCTGCGTACCAGGGAGCGGGCACCCTGCTGCTGCCAGCCCCACAGCCCAGCCTCCAGCTGCCCCACTCGGCCCCACCCAGTGGGGTCTCAGCTGAGTCCTGCTGCCCCATTGTGACTGCTGAGCCCAGAGAGCCCAGCCCTTCCCTCTGGAGCCCTGGGGGCCAGAAGCTGACTGTGCCTGCCCTGGAAGGACTCTCCAGATGGACCCCACCTCCACCTTCTGTGGCTGGGCAGGGAGGAGGTGTGGAGCCTTGGGGCTGGGAACTGCTCGTCCGCTCTCAGCTGGCAGATGGGGACGGGGAAGCCAAGGCCCAGAGCAGGGAGGCCTTGAGGAAGCCCCGGGGAGGCCAGGGAGCTGGATGCCAGGACTGACCGCAGCCATGTCCACTGGCCTGCATGGGGAGGGAGGCTCCGGCTGGCCGTCAGTCTCTGGGGACTTGGTCCTCAGAGTTACTGGCCCAGGCTGGGGGGGACCCAGGAACAGAGGGGCAACAGGTCCCAGGGGCAGGGCAGGGCAGTGGATGTGGACAGGCTGGGAAGAGGAGCCAGGGCCGGCCTTGGCCTGCTGGGGGCACTCCCCTCTCGGGTGCTCCAAGAGCCCCTGCGTCCTCCCCGCCCAGGACACAGCACCCCACTGCAAGTGGCCCAAGGCAGCAGTCCGGAGCATCTGCTGAGGGGACCCTGAAAGTGGAGGGGACCCCTGCTGACCCCGCTTCAGTCGGGGCATGGGTGCTGTGTGGGCGGAAGCTCCAGGGGTGCCATCCTCAGGGACAGGGACATTGTACGACCTTGAGTGGGCACTGCACCAGGACAGGCAGAACCACTTCCTCGGGTCATGGTTTTCTGGAGAGAAAGGCTCCCAGTCCCACCCTGCCCTTCCCAGGGCTTTCCTGGTTCTGGGTGTCAGTCCTCTCCCCTCCACTCCCCTCCTCGCTGCCTTTGCAGGAGGAGCCGCACCCCAGCCCCAAGGCCCACAGCCAGGGGAGTGGGCAGGGCCTTCCGGCCTCGGGCCTCCTCTGCAGCCACCCGCCTTCCTCCTGCCCGTAAATGCGGTCTCAGAAAGAGCGTCAGAGCAGGGAGCCAGGGCTGGGCCACCTCCCCAGGGCCAACCCAGACCTAAGGGCCTCCCTCCTCCCCCTCAGCCCAGCTGCGCTGGGACCCAGGACGCTGTCCCACCCACTCCCTCAGTTCCAGCACTGGGGCTGATGGCATCCATCAGAGGGACACATGGCCAGCACCCTGGACCCAGCCTGCCTGTGAGCCTGGATACTGTGCTGTTCCTCTGAGGACTGAGGGCCACGTAGACCCGAAGTCACCACCACACCAGGCCCAGGGCCCCCGGGTTCCGCCAGCCCCTCCCCGCTCCCTCCCTGTGGTCACAGCCAGATCAGAACCCTGGGTCCTCCCGGGGCGGATGCCTGCTGGATTCCCTGCACCCCTGGAGCAGAGTCCTGTAGCCACTACCTCAGCTGGCTCCCTGCCCCTCCCAACCGGCCGGGCCCCTGCACCCCTGGGAGCCTGGCCCCGTTCCCTCCTCACCCTCTGCTCCTTTGCAGGGAAGGACATGGAGCCCAATGGCCTGTCACTGCCAAGAGATGAAGAGCCCCCCACCTCGGGCTCCACCGCCAAGGTGCCACCGGTAAGAGCCCAGCAGTGGGAGGACCCGGGACAGGGCGCCTGCTCAGGGACAGCAGGTGCTGGCTGAGCCTGCCAACCCCCATCCAGGCCAGGGAATGGGACACAAATCCCAGGCTGCACAGCTCTGTTCACGCCACCTTCCTGGTCACGCCACCTTCTTGTTCACACCACCTTCTTGTTCACGCCACCTTCTTGGCATAAATGGGCCACCTGAGAAGAGATGTGAGCTGGCGGGGCTCCAGAAATGCCCATGAGAGGTGGCCGAGCCCCTCTGTGCCCCGTGTGAGGTGCATGTGGGGCCCCAGCCTGGCCCTCCTCTCTGCGGGCATGAGTGCCAGAGGCGTCGACGCATGCTCCCTGCAAGCTCTAGCTGGCAGGACCTCTGTCCAGGGGCAGAGGGGACTGGCACCAGCACACCCCTCCTTCTCCCAAAGGGCTCGAGGGAGCTCTGGCGGTTCTTGGTCCTGACGATGGGTGGGGCCACGGAGTCAGAGACCGTCCTTCACCTGTGCTGGCCTCAGGGAGTGGTGTGACTTCAGTGAGGGCCTGGCTCCTCTGGGAGCCCCTTCTCGGCTGTCACACTGCAGTTAATGATGTCCCGGTGGGCCCCCGTGTCGGCCTGGGGACAGCAGGCCAACCTGCCATCTCCCTGAGCCCACGCCTGCCACCCCTGACACGTGGCTGTGTGCTCACTGGCGTTTCTTGGCTATTCAAAACTTTGATCAGTGGCAAAGGAGACATGGCCTAAGATCTCCCCTCACAACCAGGTCTCGGGGCACAGTCCAGGGGCGCAGGCACACTCCCCGGCCACGCAGTCGTCGCCACTCCACCGCTAGAACTTGCTCATCTCCCCAAACTGGGACTCTACCCCACCCGCAGCCCCTGCCCTCTCCTCCTCCCTGACGTGGACGGGAGGGTCCTTGGGCCTCGTGGAAGCGGGCCCTGCGGTGCGGCCTCTGTGGCTGGTGCTGCCCTCGTGCTGCAGGCTGCCCAGGTGGTGCAGCTGAACGGATGCCCTTCCTTTTCCAGTGCCCTGTAGGATGGGCGCTCCGTCTGTCTGCCCTCAGGCGACGGGCACTGGGTTGCTTCCTCTTGTTAGCCGTAATGCGCAGAGCTGCTAGCGACGTCCGTGGCCAGGTATTCTGTGAGTACCAGGCTCCATGCTTTGGAGTGCGAACCTAAGAGTGGAATTGCTGGGTCACGAGGAACTCTGTAGCAGTATGAATTCTAAGAACCCCAGCCTTAACCCTCGAGGGACAGGGGCGCTGCCCCCTCCAGCAGTGTGCACCCTCACACCCTCACCAGCCGACACTCCAGATTTTCTATTCTGTTTCCTTAAAACACACATGATGGCATCCTGGCGCAGTGCCCAGTGGTGTCTCGTTGTGTCCGGGTTCCCTGGCGCGTCCCGATGCCCGGTGTCTCTGAGCTCCTTGACCAGCTTGAGTATGCTCTTTGGAGAAAGGTCACTGTTAGTCCTCTGCCCGTCTTTGATCGGGTTGTTTGTCTTTTTGCTGTAGGGTCAAGAGCTTTCGATGCATTCTGACCCGAGGCCCCACGCTGTACATTGTTCTAAATTGTAATTTGAGTCGCTTTTGTAGGTTGCGAGGTTCCATCCGGACTATGAGGTTCCTGGTTCTGAGCAGCCTTTCTCGTTTCTCAGGGTGCCCTGTTATTGCACCAGGCCTGACTCTCAGTGGCACACGGGAGTGACCAAAGGGCCCTGCCTGAGGTCAGGGTGCCCAGCACAGCCCACAATCAGGAGGAGTGGGCAGCCCTCTCTGCAGAGCTCAGCAGGAGCTGCAGCGCAGCCTGAGTCCCTTTGCCCAGCAGGGAGTCGGGGAAGCGCCTCCCCTGCCTGCCCCCTTCCCATTACCTAAACCCAGCACAGCTGCCTTCAGCCCAGTGGTAGAAAGCTGGGTGGCAGGGGAGTGCCAGCAGGTTCGCAGATCATGGGACTTGCTGAGCCCCCAGCTGCCAGTGCTGAGACACTGAGAGATGCAACTGTCCCCAAGGTGGTCACTCTGGACAAAGACATCTGACTACAGAAATGGCCATGTGACTGAAGCTGCCAACATCCTGGGCAGGTTTGGGGCACTATGTGTCACCAGGAGATGATGCCAGCAGGTCACTCAGAGCTGAGGTCCTGTGGGCAGGTGACTCAGGGCAGGGGCTGCCCAGCAACAGGGAAGGGCATCCCCAGGTGGGGAACAACATGCGCTAAGTCAGCCGAGGGCGCCGCGCCCAGACCTGGCTCAGAAGACTCCTCGGAGCAGAAACAGGCTCTCATCCATCAGCCTGGGCTCTCCAGAGGCCTGTCACCTGGCCAAGGTCTGCATACATCCTTAACTCAAACGCTGCGTCCAGGGCAGAGCCCTCAGGAACCCCTCCTGCCGCCCTTTCTCCCATGATCTGGAATGGTCTTTTGGCTAAGTGGGTGCAGCCCTGGAGTAAGACTGCTGGGGTTCAATCTCAGCTGGGCCCCTTCTCAACCGTGACCTTGGGCAGGTTTCTGAATCTCTCTGTGCCAGTCTCCTCCTCTGCAGAACACAGATAATAACAGTGGCCTGAGCTGCTGTATTTAACACTCATGGTCACAAAGCCGGGCACCCCACCCCTCTCCACCCCTTGCCCTGGCCGCCTCGTCCACTTGTAGGTGGCTGCCCCTCTCTCAAAGAGCCAAACAATCGTATTGTTCCTAAACCCAGTGCCTAAGGCAAGCCTGGCACAGTGTTGTCCAGGTGTCCACTGGACGATTCAAGTCCACCCCATCCCTTACTGGCCCCTCAGGCTTGGGTGCTGCCTCACCTCTCCCTTCTTGGCTTCCTGTCCACCAAGTGGGATGAAATGGGTCCTGCCCCATGGGTCGATAGAGCTTGGGTGAGTGCAGCAGTCCTCTCCCTGCAGTTTGTTTTCCATGTTTTCAGTTACCCATGATCAACTATAATCTAAAAATACTAAATGGAAAATTCTAGAAATAAACAATTCATTTGTTTTAACTTTGCAGTCTTCTGAGTACAGTGACAAAATCTCCCACCATCCTGCTCCATCCTGCCTGGCATGTAAATCATTCTTCGGCCAGTGTATCCATGCTGTATATACTACCTGCCCGTTAGTCACTTAGTAGCTGTGATCTGACACAGAGAGGCCACATTCACATAACTTTCATTCCAGTAAGTTATTATCAGGGTTCTGATTTATTTTTAGCGATTGTTAACCTCTTACTGTGCCTGACTCCTAAGTTAAACATTATCATGGGTACAGATGTAGAGGGAAACACAGCACACACAGTCTTTGGAAGTATCCAGTTTCAGCATCTGCTGGGGACATTTGGACATACTCATCACAGACAAGGGAGACAATGGCACAGACAGAGCATCGGAATGGGGCCTGGCATGTCTGAGTGGACAAAGCCTCCGCTCTGTACCCTGTGCCCTTCTCCATCTCCCTGCTGTTCTGAGCAGCCCAGGGCGAGGGTCCACCCTTCCTGCCTGAATGGAGACTCTCTCCACAGTGGACAATTCCTTTGCCCTAGAAGCTCCAGAAGGTGCTCCCTAGCACCCCCAGGCACCCAGCATAGAGAGCAGAGCAGGGCAGCAGGTTCTCCTAGAAAGATGGACAGCGGGGCTCTCGAGCGTCCCTGCCTGGGGTCCTACTGCAGCCCTCCACACCGCTGTCCCAGGAGGCTGCCACGGGCGTGGAGATGCGTGACCTGGCTGTGTGCCAGGAAAACTGTGGACATGAAGTTTGAATTTCAGGGAACTTTTATGTCTCACAAAATAATGTTCATTTGGTTTTTTTTCTTAACCACTTGCAATTGTGGAACCTGTTCTTGGCTTGCAGGTGCACAGTGGCAGGTGACAGGTAGGAGTCAGCCTTTCCCAAGCCTGCGTCCACTTTCCCTACCAGACCTCAGCTTCCCTATCTACAGAGGGACTCTGGCCCCTTCCAGCCCCAAGGTCCAGGATGGCTGCTCTGGGCCAGCAAGCCAGCTGTGGCCTGGGCTGGGCCCCGCCTGTGGCCATGGGCAAGACCTGGGCATTGGCCCTCCACACAGCAGCTTCCAGAGCATGGGGCACCCCCAGTGCATGGCCGCCCTGCACATGTCAGCCCCGACCAGAGGAAGGGCCACGGCCATGGCCGAGGAGCAGATGTCCCGAGCACCCCGGGGGCAGGAAAGGGGGCTGCTCTTCCAGTGGATGGATGAGCCCCAGAGCTTGTCCCCCAGCTCACAGCTGCCGCCACACTCCCCTCTGCAAACCCCACCCTTGGCGCCTGGCCACCTGGCTCAGGGGTCTCCTGGCTGCCTCTTCCCCCAAACCTGCCCCTGATGGCCCAGGAGTTTCTTCAGCCTCTGACTGGTCCCATGTCCCCTCGTGTGCCCAGGTGGTGGATCCCATCTCCTCCTCGCCGTGAATTCAGCGCAGGTGCCTGGGAAGGGCTTGCCAGGGTCAGCTTGTTCTATCTCCCTGGCTGGCCAGATGGAGGGTGCTGGACCATGAGGGCAGGAAGCACTTCTCTCCAACCTCTGTGTCCTGCCCCTGCCCACCCCGGCCCTCCACAGCTGCACCCCAAGGCCCCCCACTCCCAAGTGTCTCTCTTGCAGGCAGAGAACAGACTGTGCAATGGGTCTGACAAGGAGTGTGTGTCCCCGACGTCCAGGGCCTCCAGGAAAGAGACCCTCAAGGTGGGCCCGGGCCCTGGGAGGGGCGGGGCCTCTCAGCTGGCACCTCAGAGGGGGGCCCCCGAGGCTGGGAGAGGCTCCCCGTCTGCCAAGGGGAGGGGCACCTGCACCCCACCACCCCAGGCCTCCACCTGCTCTCCTTTTCCTGCGTGGCCTTCTCCTGGCCCCAGACTGGACGGTGGGAGGAACCGGGCAGCGGGGACCATCCCCCGTGACCGCCCACCGGTGCTCCCGGCTCAGGCGCAGAAGGAGACCTACCGAAAGGAGAAGAAGCGCGCGACGAAGCAGCTCTTCAGTGCCCTCACAGATCCCAGCGTGGTCATCATGGCCGACAGCCTCAAGGTGGGCGGCCCAGCGGGAGCTCCCAGTGGGGAGTGGGAAGGCTGTGGCCACTCGGGAGACCATCGGCATGTGTGGTGTCCTGGGGCTGCCATGTGTGGTTTAAAGCAATAGAAATCTATTTCCTCATAGTTCTGAAAGAAAAAGTCCAAAACCAAGGTGCCCGCCAGGCCCTCCAGGTCCCGGGGGAGGGTCCTTCCTGCTCCTTCTAGCTCCAAGTGCCCTCGACTTGTGACCACATCAGCCTACTCCCTGCCTCCGTGCTCACAGGCCCACCCTCTGGGTCTGCCCCTCTTCCTGTGAGGACACCAGTCACTGGCCAGGCCCCTACTCCAGCCTGCTCCATCCGAGTTCTCTCGGTGGCACCCGACAGAGGGGGGCCCCGGTCTGCTGGTCGAGGCCTCAGAGTCCTGGGGAGGGACCATCACCCTGGCCTCCAGGAGAGCGCCCGGGCTCAGACCTCCCCAGGGCACTCAGCCCTGAGCCTGCACTTCCCTGTCCACACAGTGAGGGTCAGAGACCCCATGCAGCCCCTGGGAGCAAGGGAGACAGGTGGGCCGCGTCCACCCACAGGCAGGATGGAAGCTAGGTACTGCCCCGACCAGCCGTTAATTCAGAAATCAGGGGCGACTGGGTGAAGAAAAGACAGACACACACATAGAAGGAACAGCGGGGCCAGGTGGCGGCCAGGCTCTGACCGAGTCTGACTGACCCCTAACCAGCTCATCGGAAGGCTGTGGGAAGGTGTCAGCCAAGCGGGCCGACTGAAGGACGCAGGATGGGCGGATATTAGGGTCATCTTGTTAGACTCAGAATCCTCTGTTCCTGGGGGTTGGCGTCTGAACTCAAGGCCTCGACTGATCACTCTGAGCCTTGGCACAGAGTGTCCTTAGGCCGGCGTCACCCTAGCAACTGAGCCTTCGTGACCTGCACCCCTGCACAGGCAGTTCCCAGGGCTGCTCGGCCACGAGTCAGACGTGATCCAGATCGCCGCTCTCCAGGAGGTGTGGTGCGAAGGCCGAGTTAGAGAGAGAAAAGAGCTGACAGCTGGCTTACAAAGCTCAGAATGCCAAGTCACCACTCTGCTAGTTCCCCCAAGACCCTGGGACCTCCTTGACCTTGAACTTGACCTCCATGAACCTCGCCAGCGCATCTGTCCCCAGTTTCTCTAGATTTCTTTGAGTCTTCCATCACTTAAGTTCCCCCTTTGAGAAACTGGAGGGGACCCTGCCACACCCCAGGGCCACCTGAGCTCTGCTCTGAGTTCCCAGCTTCAGCCATGCTGCCCCAGCCCTGCCAGGGCACGTGGTGGGCACCCCCAGGAGTGGGGGTCAGCCCTGCACTCAGAACACGCAGACAGCCCCCATCAAGCCATCGAGATGCCCTGGGGGCAGCCTGAGTGGGCAGAAGTGACCATAGTGCCCCTCCTTGCAGATCCGTGGGACCCTGAAGAGCTGGACCAAGCTGTGGTGCGTGCTGAAGCCTGGGGTGCTGCTCATCTACAAGACGCCCAAGGTGGGCCAGTGGGTGGGCACCGTGCTGCTGCACTGCTGTGAGCTCATCGAGCGCCCCTCCAAGAAGGACGGCTTCTGCTTCAAGCTCTTCCACCCACTGGACCAGTCAGTCTGGGCCATGAAGGTACTGCTGGGCGGGAGGGGACACCCTGGGCAGGGGAGAGGGGACACCCTGGGCAGGGGAGAGTGGCCCCATAGGGTCAGGAGGCTCCTCCTGGGGTCACAGTGGGACACCACTGCCAGCTGCAGAGGCCTCCAGCAGATCTCATAACTTCTCTGAGCCTCATGCAGGGCCAGGGACCAGATAGGCCATGGCCCTCCCCACAGAACCCTTGGTGGCCTCAGAGGCTGTACCCCTCTAGCCCAGACCTCAGCCTCGTAACGGGGCTGCCCAACCCAGGACCAGCAGGGCCAGGCTGCCTGGGGAAACCCAGGACGCCCAGTCGAGTTTGAATTTTGGGGGAACCAGTTTTTAATGAAGACTCCTCGACTTGGGATGAGGTCACACCCAGATGACCCATTGTAAGTTGGAAACACGCAGGTTTACACTGTGCTTAACACTCCCAGTCACCACGGCTCAGCTCACCTGCCTGCGCTCAGAACACRCAGCAGCCTACAGTTGGGGGAGACACCCCAGCACCCAGCCTGCTGAGTGTCCCGTGGGTTGACCACCGCGTTCTGAGCGTGGGACACAGTGGCTATATGAGCGTGCTTGCCCGCCACCATAAAGTCAAAATATCGTACGTTGAAACCGTCTTAATAAGTGTATTCCGTGGGCTGGACACACCCTACAGAGCTCTTCAGAGCTCTTCATTATTTCTTTGAGATTCGGATTCAGCTGGGCATCCTGGTTTTGCAGGATTCTGACCCTAACTCAGGAAGCTCATAGCTGGAGAGCGAGGGCGAGAATCCCCGCCCATCCGTCTCTCTCGCTGCCTGCCAGGTCTTCCTGGCCAGGTGCCTGACCCTGCAGGTCTCTGCCTCTCCAGGGCCCCAAAGGTGAGAGTGTGGGCTCCATCACACAGCCCCTCCCCAGCAGCTACCTGATCTTCAGGGCCGCCTCGGAGTCGGACGGTGAGTCCCCTCTGCCTGTCTCCTGGGTGCCTGCCGGAGGAGGGGCCCTTGTCGGGTGTGAGCCAGGTGTAGGTGAACACGGTTCAGGCCTCCACTATCCCCCAACCAGAGGCGAAGTCATGGAGCAGGCCCAGGCTTGGCACCAGGCAGGCCTGGCTCACATGGTACCTCCCCGAGCCTCGGTGTCCCCATGGGTACAGTGTGACTCATACTTGTCACCTCAATATCATGGGACTCCAGGGACCTCATTAGAGCACATGGCAGTCACTCAGCTCCACACCCTGCTGACAACATGGACCGTAGGTCCTACTATCATCTTCCACGTCTGACAGTGAGGAAACAGCACAGGCAGCCCCCCGGCAAGACAGCACCTGAGCCCAGACAGAGCGTGAGCCCCCGACTCCACACCGTCTCCTTCAGGCGCCCTGACGGCAGCTCTCACCGCTGCAGCCACAGCTGACCCTGGAATTAGTGATGATTTCCTGCAGTGACCACCCTCTGATGGGGGTGGCCACCCATCTGCGCCCTCAGGGCTGGCCCCTGCGGCCACACGCTCACAGTAGGCAGTGCCCAGCCTAGAAGCCGTAGCCCTCTGGGTCCAGCCCCTCAGTCTTGACTGTGGGCAGTGTCCTCCACACCAGTGCCACATCGCCCCCTGGTGGTCAGTGCCACATCTACGTTCCCCAGCTGTCCCAAGTCCCTTCCGTATTGGATCATTGTGGGATCCCACCTGGGCCCTGGGGTGGACAGGGTGGCCTGTGCCTCATGCACCTGCAGCTCTGAGGGGGAGGTGGGCAATGAGCCCTCAGACCAGGAGACCAGGGAAGACGGTGCCCAGCCCTGATGGGCAGAGGGCCGCAGTGGGGAGGAGGAGTGTCCCCAGCCCCTGTGGGGTTCGGGTGGCCTCTGGAGGAGCCGGAGGAGGCCTTGTGTGGGCATGGCGTCTGGGGTACTGAGTCCCCAGGGGCAGCCCTGAATGCGTGTTCAGGCCCCACCCAAGTCGGCGCCCCCCCTCCCCCCACCCCAGGCTGCTCCATGATGGCTCACCAGGCTGGGGGGCTCTGTTCCAACCCAGCCTGCAGTGAACCCCAGAAGCACCCCAGATGTCCCCTGGCAAGAAGAGCAGCTCCAGAGAACCAGGAGCCACCATCCTGGTGGGTCCCTCCCCTGAGTTGCCCAGACTGGCCCCAGGGAGGCCCGAGCAGGGTCCATGAGCAGCAGTCAGGGAACGCGCCTCCAAGAGCAATGCCAGGTCCCTCCAGAGGGACCTGTCCCCAACCTGCCTGGTCCCATGGGCCCCCAATTGTCACGCTGCTTTGAGCCGTCATGTATAGGCCACCCCAGGATGCTCTTGTGAGTGGAAGGGCCGCTCTCAGGGTTCACACCAGGACACCGGGTGCGACCTGGGTGGACGCACGTCCCCTAGTTGTTAACACTTGGGGATCTGAGACCACCCTCCGCCAGGAAGGCAGCAGACAATGAGCAAGAGCCCTTTCCCACCCTTTGCTGTCCACAGCTTCGTCCCTGTGGCCTGGGCAGTGGCTCCTCCACAGCACGGTCCTGCCCACCTCCACCCTCCTGCCCACCTCCACCCCTCCTGCCCATGTTCCCAGCCAGCAGGAGCCCCAGGGCACCCGGACCTGCAGCTCCTGGCAGGGGCCCTCATCCCACTCCACCTGGGCACACCTGCAGGTGGACCCTCTGGGCACAAGGCCAGCTCTGGGCCGTCACCTGGGTCCCTCACATCCTGGCCTTGGCCCCTGCCTGCGACATGAGTGCACGGAAGGGCACAGCCGTTGAGGTTCTCTGAAGAGCTCCTTGAGGCCTACTCAGAAGGCCAGGGCCACATGGACTCCTGGTGTCCATCCCCTCCGTCCCCCACCACAGGCCCCAGACCGAGGTCCCTGTGGGAGGCAGGACAGAGGGATGGGAGGAAGGTGGTCTCCTGTTGGGGGTCGGGGGGCCACGGGAGGTTCCCAGAGGGGAGCACGCTGGACCCCTTGGTGAGGGCAGCGGCTCCCTGTGTCCCCAGGGCGCTGCTGGCTGGACGCCCTGGAGCTGGCCCTGCGCTGCTCCAGCCTGCTGCGGCTGAGCGCCTGCAAGCAGGGCCACAACAGCGAGCCGGGGTCCTCGCCCGACGCATCGCCATCCTCGCTGTCCGGACTGCCAGGCTCAGCCGCCGTCCACCCAGACCAGGACCTGTTCCCGTGAGCAGGGTGGGGCGGGCAGGGGCGGGGTCCCCTAGGTGGGGGCAGGGGAGGAAGCAGACCTCCAACGGCACAGGGAGTCCACGGAGGGGGAGGCCCTGTCCCTGCCGGGCCCCAGAGGCTCAGCCCCTTCATTGTGGGATGGGGGCTCCGGGGTCCGGCGGGGAGCGGGGTGGAGGCCGCCCGGGGAGGGCTGTGTGGGCTGGGGCTGGCCTGTGACCAGGTGCCACCTGCACCCCATCCAGGCTGAGTGGCTCGTCCCTGGGGAGCCCCCTGGAGCAGGATGCCTTCTCGGACAAGTCAGAGAACGCCGAGGACTCCGGGCCAGAGACCCAGGACCCCAGCCCCAAGACCAACGGGAGTGGCAGCGACCAGTCTGAGAGCCCCGGGGGGCCCCGCAGGGGGACCACCTACGTGGAGCAGGCCCCCGAGGAGCCCGGGGAGGTGAGAGCCGCCCTCCTCCCTGGGCAGGGGCAGTGCCAGGTGGGTGGGGGTCCAGGAGGGTCTGCCGTGCTCCTTCCCCGGGGGACACTGCCTCTCCTAAGAGGCCCTCCCTCCCGGCCGGCCCTGCTGGTGTGTGGACACAGGGACGTGGCAGAGTCTCCTGCCCCCAAGGAGCAGCCCGGGCTGGAAGGCACCGTGTGAGAGGACAGGGGCTCGGGAGGGACCCTCGACATCTGCTGGGTGATGAGCAGGATGAGGGCTCTGTGTGTACCTGGACGCTGCCACTCTGGCCACTTCCCTGCCCTGGGGAGACGGTCATGGGCCAGGTGGCCCTGGGCTGCCCCCTAGCCCAGGTTCATGGCAGCAGGAAACAGGCCACAAACCCACTGCTGTGGTTAGGACTGGGGTGTCCCCAAAGCCCAGGTGCTGAAGGCTTGGTCCCCAGCTTGGTGCTTTTGGGAGGTGGGAGAATYCCTATCAGGTGGGGCCCAGAGGGAGGACTTTAGGTCATTGGGGGGAGTGTCCCCAAAGGGGATTGTGGGATCCATCTCTTTCTCTTTCACTTCCTGTGAGCAGCTGGATCAACCACGCACTTCTGCCATGGTGTACCCCCTCGTCACAGGTCCAAAAGCAGCAAGGCCAACAAGGGCAAAATCTCCCAAACTGTGAACCCAAATAAACCTTATTTCTTTACAAGTTGATTATCCTAGGTATTTGTCATAGTAACAGGAAACTGACTAACACACCCACAGAGGACCCAGGGAGCTGGTGAGGAGAGTAAATGGGAACAAGGCTTATAATGGGGTAGAGAGTGCCTTGGAGGGTGGGTGGTCATGGGGTTTCTTTGAAGACCTGAATAACAAGAGGGAGAGTGGCATTCCAGGCACAGGGGCCAGGAGTGCAGGAGCCCAAGCAGGAGTACTGTCAGCCCCCACAGGAGTGCTCCTATGGAGGACAGAGCTGGACGGCTTGAATTGCCACAGCGAGATGCCGTGGGCAGGTGGTGTGCCTCAGTAAGTGGGAGCCCAGAGGAAGGACACCCAGGATCCAGGCCTGGAATGGGCAATGGGGTGGGTTGAAGAAGCCAAGCTTTGCTGAGGACCAGGTGCTGTCAGGACTGGACCTCTACAGCCATTCCCGTCCAGGTGGAAAGAAAGTAGCAAGGCTAAGGCTGTGGTAGGTAGCATAGACCCTGGCGTAGCAGGCAAAGGGATTGGGGTCCTTGTTACTGTTTAGGACAGTGTCTCTGATTGGCCATTTCCTGTTGCTATAACAAAACACCTGAGGTTGGGTGCTTTAGAGAGAAAAGAACTTTATTTAGTTCACAGTTTGGAGACTGGCAATCTGGAATTGGGCAGCCCTGATTTGGCCTTTGCTGAGGGCCCCTGTGACAGTGTCACCTGGTGGATGGCCTCATGGGGGAGCAGAGTGAGAGGAGCGGTCACATGCAGAGACAGGAAGAGAGAGAGCAGGGAGGGGCCAGGCTTGCTTGTCCCCCCAGACCCTCTCAGGAGCCACTAAGTGCAAGGCCAGTGTCGCCCCTTCCAGGGACCTGCTGCCTTGGTGGACCCCATGCTTGACCCGGGTCCCAGGGGCACTCCACACGCAGACAGAGCAGTCTCCTTCTGGTCTTGCTCCACCGTGGACAGAGCGGCCTTGCCTGACGTAGTGTCCTGTGGGATCGCGTTCGCCACGGCCTTCCTATGGGGTGCGCGGCTGGGCACCTGCCTGTGCCCGGGAGCAGGAGGGTGACAGGGAAGCACCCACGGCCAAGTGTGGGGGGGGCCTGCAGGGAGGAGCCCTGGGAAGCTGGCCGGGATGGGGGCAGGGAAGGGAGCCACTCCGCCCTCCAGAGTGGACTGGGCAGGCCCCAGCTGGACGGGGTGCCACTGCGAGGCGGGCACTGGGAGAAACAGTGGGCAGGAAAGGGCGTGGACGGAGGTGTGGCCTGTGACGACTGGGTCCCGGGAGGCGCTGCCTCGCGAGTCGGGCTCCGTGGCGAGAGCCCGCTGCGCACTGCAGCTCTGCGCTGTGCCAACCGTCCTCCGTCAAGGGCCAGAACTTTACAGTAACTTTAAAATACTCTTTGGAAGTGGAGGAGCAGCTGCCTCACAGGGCAGCCGAGGTCCCAGGGGCCAAAGCCTCTCTGCTGGACCGTGAGCTCCTCCCTCGTGTGGGACGGTCACTGAAGTTCCAACAGCCCCGTCTGGCCAGGCCCCACCTGGACTCAGGGGAGGGCCCAGGTCTGCCAGGTGGAGCAGCAGCCCAGCGGTGAGGGATGAGAGCAGCCTTCATGGGCAGCTGTGCCCTCCAGGCAGGGTGGGCGTGTCGGGAAGGGGAAGGGGCAGGGCTGCAGGGCCGGGGTCTGGAGGCTGCAGGGCCAGGCCGGGCGTCCACACCAGTGGTGGACAGGTGCAGCCCGCACACCTACTCGGCCTGGGACGGTGTCTCCCACCACCCCGCGCCCTCCCTCCCTGGGGTCACAGAGCTGACCCCAGGCCCTTTGCTGCAGCTGGATGAGGAGCCCCAGGTGGAGCCAGTGTCGGAGGAGAACAAGGGCCTCATATGGGTGCTGCTGCGGCAGCTGCGGCCGGGCATGGACCTGTCCCGCGTGGTGCTGCCTACCTTCGTGCTGGAGCCCCGCTCCTTCCTCAGCAAACTCTCGGACCACTACTGCCACGCCGACCTGCTCTCCAGGTGCGCTGCGGCAGGGGAGAGGCCCGGGGGCGGGAGGGGCCCAGGCGCAGGGGCCCACAGGGTGCAGGGGGGCAGGAGCACCCGGGGCGCCCTGGACGCTGCCAGGGCCAGCAGTTCTCTCTGAGGCCCAGCGTGGGGTGGAGCCGGCGCTGCTGGTCACTTCCAGGGGGCATTCCCCGGGTCAGGGCTGCCTGGCATGGTGGTGGGTCCGGCGCCTCAGGGTCCAGGTGGCCTGCAGGTGGCTGCGGTAGCTCAGTGGGGGGAGTTGGGATGGTCGAGAGTGTGGTCAGGGGAGGGGGTGGCCAGGGACCCTGGGCAGACTCAGAGCCCCGCCTCCCCATGGCAGGGCTGCCCGGGAGGACAACGCCTACGGCCGCATGAAGCTGGTGCTGCGCTGGTACCTGTCTGGCTTCTACAAGAAGCCCAAGGTGAGCCTCGCCGAGTCCCGCGTCCCCCGGCCTGGACGTCCTGGCTGCCCCCGTGGCTGAGGTCCGAGTTAGAGGACAAGGCCTGAGTCCCCACAGAGAGTCCCCTGTGCTGCTCAGACCAAGTCCCAAGTCGGTACCCATCCCCTGAAGGATCCACCCCGGGGAGCTAGCCTCAGGTGCTGGAGGTGCCACCGGGCACTGGTACCAGCAGACCCAGTGTGCCCAGAAGTCCTAGCCACGGGATCATCTCAGAACCGCAGCCAGGACTGGCCGAGCTGCCTGGTGCAGGGAGGGCCGGGCAGGGCGCAGCTCTGCCACTCCCGGCTCCACAGGTCACCCGATGGACACTGAGACTCTAGTTCCACTTTTCATGGCACAGATGGAGACACTGAGGCCCGGAGAGGGGAAGGGACCAACTTGGACCCCCATGGCAGGCTGGCTTGGAGCCGGTCTCCCTGCCCCCCATGCCCCCCACGCTCAGCTTTGAGGGGGCCATTCAGGCTCTGCACCCAGGTCCAGGCGGAGTGACTCATTCAGGGTCCTGAGGACACCCCGAGGCTGTCCCCCAGCACTGGGGGGTGCTGTTCCCTTTTGCTGGCGGCAGGCCAGGCCCCTTTGAGAATCGTGGGCAGCCCCCACACGGTCCCCCGGTCCGCGTGGCCAGCCCTGCGGGGCCCTCCCACCTCCTCCCCATACGGCCTCGTCCTGCAGGGAATCAAGAAGCCCTACAACCCCGTGCTGGGCGAGATGTTCCGCTGCCGCTGGATCCACCCTCAGACGCGCAGCTGCACCTTCTACATAGCGGAGCAGGCAAGGCCCCCTCTGGGCAGGGAGCCTGGGCGCTGGGAGGTGCAGGGTGGCCCTGCATGCGGTTCCCGGTGTCCCGCATCCTACCAATCCCAAGGGCTCTGGAGCCAGATGCTGCCCATGGGTTGTCGGACAAGGTGCAGACAGAGCCCCAGGCCTGTGACAGCAAAGTGTCTCCTGGGGAGCCGGGGACAGAGCGCCTGGTCCCATGGGACACTCGGGGTGACTCAGGGATCTGAGTCTGCTCCTAGGCCCAGTGACTCACGCCCCCTCCCCAGGACCCTGGGAAAGCCCCCGGGCTGCCCTGGACCCCCTCCAGGGCTGGTCCAGAGCTGCCTCTGCCTGCAGGTGTCCCACCACCCGCCCGTGACGGCCTTCCACGTCAGCAACAGGAAGGATGGGTTCTGCATCAGCGGCAGCATCGTCGCCAGGTCCAAGTTCTACGGTGAGCGGGGCTCCTGGGCCCGAGGGACATGGGGCAGGACCAGGTCTCACATGGTGGCCGTGCACACCCTCAAGGTCAGGGACCACATGTGGCAAAAGTACCGAGACCTGGCCAGGAGCCTGCCCCCAGCTGAGACGGGGCGACTCTTGCAGGGAAGCCACAAGGACGAGGGGAGAAGCCGCAGGCACGGTGAGCCCAGGGCTGAGCGCCCAGCCCCGTAGCCACTGGCCACACGTGGCCACGCGACTTGAGTAAAATTGGGGCTGGAGGAGTGACTGGGGGTAGCACTTGCCTGGCATGCACGAGGCCGTGCACCACTCCAAGCACTGCACGAATAAGATGGAATAGACAGTCATGTAGGTGAAGTAGGCCGTCCCCAAACCCAAGGCCGGAGGTTCTCCCTGATGACCAGATGCTGGCCATGTGGGGTGGGCAGGGAGGGACGAAGGCTCTGGGGTTGTGCAGGGGGTGGGAGGGCAGGGGCTGTGGGATGGGAAGATGGTAGAGGCAGACACTGTCACCCTGTACACATGTGTGACCACGCGACTGCTGTGACGGCACCACGCACAGCCAGAGGACGGGGAGGTGGCCCTCCGTTAGTACACAGTGTGTCCCATGCACGCTACCGTCACGTGCACTAGTCAGAACAATTAGAAATAGAAGAGGTCAACCTCGTGGGTGAGTCGCTACGTTTAAATGAGATAAAGCTGAAATGCAGCCCTCGGGGCCGTGAGCCATCACCTGGGACAGGTGTCCCCACATCCTACCCATCTGTGGCTCCGCTGCTCTGGACCTGGTGGCACAGTGCGTGGGCAGCACTGCCCTGGGCTGACCCGCTGGCACCCCATTCACCAGGGGCCCCTGTCCGCAGACTCCACTTCTCCCTTTTCCACCCTGGGCCCCCGGCTCAGCCGTGGCCGCAGCGATCAGACCAGAGCGGGGGGTGCCCTTTCTCCTGGGTGTCCAGAATCCCAGGTCCACAGCCTCTCTGAGAACCGCTGGTTCCATGGCTGAAGAAAACTGTTCATGAGCGGCAAGTTGAGTGGCTTCTCAGGCCAGGCAGGGGGTGTGACCRGATAGGGCTTTTACAGGACCTGAGGATCAGAGAGGCTAAGCGACCCACCCACAGTCACATAGCTGGAGGGCCTGGGAACTCTTGGACTCTTGAAAGGGAGCTCAGAACCACAGGAGCGTGTGCGCTCACGGGTCCCCTGCCCTGTCTCTGCAGGGAACTCACTGTCGGCTCTGCTGGACGGCAAGGCCACACTCACCTTCCTGGATCGAGCAGAAGACTACACCCTCACCATGCCCTATGCCCACTGCAGAGGTAAGAGGCCGGGCCACCCTCCAATGTCCCMGCCTGGCCCCCAGGACAGCACCGTGCTGGGCCCTTCCATTTGGCTAAAGACATTCCTGTCCCCCCACCCCAGCCATGGCTGGCAGGCATGGGCCGTGACTTGGTGCCTTGGGGAGCGTTGGCCCTCTCCCCTKGGCCTCTGGGTGCCCTGCTGGGCCCGACCCCTCCCATCTCACTCTCTGGCTCTCGGGGCCCGTCTGGTCTCCGCCGTCGCCCTGCTGCCGGGGTCTGTTTCCTGTTTGACTTGATGGTGTTCAGCAGAGGTTCAGGTTCACAGGGAATCCAGGCAGAGGGCAGGGACAGACCCACGCCTGGACACTCGGGTCCCCACATTAACCCCCAGCCTTCGTGTGGGACGTCCGTGGCAGTTGACCAGCCAATAGGGACACGTCGTCTTCACCAGCGTCCACAGTGTCCACGAGGGTCTCTCTGCAGAGCACATCGTGGACCTTGGCCCCCACCACAGCCACCTCCCCGGACGCGATGGACCTGCCACTGACCTCACGCCCCACCTCCCCTTTCCCTAGTGACACGCGGTGCCACCCCACAGTTGGTGGGCTTCTGGGCCAGCTTGCTCCTCCAGGCCACGTGCCGGCCTTTCCTCCCGGGTCCTCGTGGCCCGTGGCTCTGCGTCTGCAGCTGAGGGCTTGGTCTGTGTGGGGCTTTGGGCAAGCCTCGACATTTCAGCCATTGCTCTTCTAGCCTGCCACACGTCTGAGCTGTCCCCTCTCCTTCTGGAGTCCAGCAGCACGTAGGTCCGCCTTCCCCAGCTGTGCCCCGTGTCCCCGGGTCTCTGCGGCGTCCCACCTGGGTGCCCCTGGAGGTCCCTCTTCCTGACATCCCTTCATCTCTGGCTCTGCACCTCCTCGTGCTTTTGTCTGGTTTTGTGACTTGGATTTTTTTGCGCTGAAGCTCTGCTGGGTCCCTCTGACCTGCCTGTTCTTCCTTCCTGTCCCGTGGGCCTTGTCCTCTTGTGGGTCCTCCAGCGCTGGGACYGGCTGTCTGTCTGTCTGTCTGGAAACCCTGGCGTTCCGGGGGTTTGCCCCAGTGGTGCCCTGAGAGGTGCTCAGTCCACCCTGTGCAGCTGGTGACTGGTCAGCCCCTGGGGAGCGAGGCCCAGGGTGGGAACCCCGTGCTCCCGGCTGGCTCCTGCTGGCCCAGGTGGGAGCCCCCCTGGCTGGCCCTGGTAGGTTGTCTGGGCCACGGGGAGCGTGGTCAGCAGCCCAGGCTCACCCTCCAAGCCCACAGGGTCTTGTGTTTGCTTGTAACCCCTAGAGCCCAGGCCCGGGCAGATGGCTCTTGACCCTCCCTGGGCCTGGGGATGGCTCCACGAGCCCCTTTTGCTGAGGGCCGCCTATGAGGGAGCCCGCTGTGTGGAAATGCCTGGGAGCCAACTCTGCCTGCTGCTCTGGCCAGGCGCTGACCACTGTCCACACAGAAGCTGGGACCCAAGGCCCAGGCCGGCAGTGCTGCTGCTCCTCCTCCCCCTCCCCCTCCCCTCCCCCTCCTCCTCCC